GTTATTGTCCTTCAAGATCTGTCCTACACCACCTACTTTTCTCTTTCTACACATTTTCTCTCTTGGTGTTCTCATGAGCTATCAAAGGTTTAATTATCACCTCTGTTCACTCCCAAATCCATATGTCCAGCCCTAATTTCTCCCCTAAGCTTCAACCCCAAATCACAATTTACTCATTGGACATTACAAAAGAAATGTGTCAGAAATAACTCAAAATTAATGTGTCCAAAATGATGTCGGGATATTGGCATATAATGGGACTAGGAAGAAATATGTAAGTGCTGGAACTTGTGTGTGAAGATTTTCCTTATAGTTCTTAGCTCTCTGGGTATTGAATATGGGAAGGAAAAATTTAGTATAGTGCCAAGAGGATCCAAGATATAGTAAGTTTACTGATATATGGACAAAGGTGGTAGAGCAGCAAACACATTGTGTGTGATGGGAAGTCTTAAAATCTGTGTCATGAAAAATGAATTCTGGGAAGAACAAGAGGCTGGTAATCTCAGAGGCAGGCCATTGACCTAGACCTCCTACTCATATGCTTTCATTGTGCTGGTATTCATACACGTTTGTTTTGTTTGTTTTTCTGGATTGACAGCTATGATTTTGTTCTTTTAGTTCTCCCACACAGCAAATATTAGTGCAGAGTAAATTATGAGGATAGATATAAGATCAGATCAAATATAGTATGACTCACTTAATTTACAATAATCCCAAAGGGAAATACCAAAGTGGTGAGGTGGATAGGGGTTAAATTTGTATAGATGGAGTATATCTGTAGTTGTCAGGAGTGGACCTGTTGACAATATTATGAAATATTTTTAGATAAAGTTGAGAACTCAGTAGATTCTCTGATTGTACTATTGAAATATTCTTCCCTTTTAAAGAACTTATTTTATTGGACTCAGGAAACATTTCAGTTGGAATTATTTTATTTAAATACTCCTCCATTCTTTCAATCTTGGACTATAGCTTTGCAACACATTGAAAGGTTAATATCATAGACATCTCCTATGTGTATAAAAAATCCATACAGTTTTTTTTTTTTACTAATTGCTGCAATATTCTAAAACCCACATTATTGTTTTATTATTGCAACATTGATTTTGGCTTTCCTTTCAAAGGATGAATGTTTTATCTTTCAGATGTCAAAAATGTCAAAAAAAATAAAAAAAATAAAAAAGCTCTAAGACTGCATGTACCCTCTGTAAGTACCAGTTACCAAAGTTACCAGTAAGCCCAGTTACCAAAAACTGAGCAATCTATAATTTCTTTTAGATACTTATTTCTTCCCATGTCCCTAGACATGAGAGAGAAAGGAAATGTAAGGTTGGCTTACAGGAGTGTAGGAGAGAATCAGTAGCCTGAGTTCAGTCCTTGAGATGATAGACAATATAGGGATATAGAGTTGTACAGCACACAGTGTTTTGAAATTATTATCAGAGGATGTGATTCTCAATCTGCTCTGCTACTTCATATCCATATGACCTTTGACAAATCACTAAAGTGCTTTGTTACTTAGTTCTTCTTTAGTAAAATAAGGTATCAATCTAAATGGTCATTAATATTATTTCCAGATTAACCTTAATACTGTTTTGTTTCCTCATATTAAAATATAAGATTTTGGGCAGTATGAATTGTCTTCTTTATGATTGGTATTCCTAGAACTTAGCACAATTCTCAACTCTTCATAATACATTTTCATTGATTCATCCATTAATCTAATAAACATTGCAGTTTATTTTGATCCACAGCAATTAAGATGTTTGGAAAGCCCCTTTCTTTATAAGACAAGGAATGAGTCTTCAAATAGCCTGTTATAAGTTTAGTTGACATAGGATTTTTGAGCATCAGAATGGAGATGTTGTGATTTCAGTATCCCCTCCCCCCCAATAAATGGGCTAATAGGAAGCTTTTCCCACTGCCTGTGAAAATATGGGAAAGGTACTGTATCAATGATGTGTGCAATCGGAAACTAATTTAATGTTCTTTCACCCTTCCCTCAGGAATTATCCTCAGGAATGATAAAATGATCATGGGATATAAGAAGGATACAGGAAGCTCAAAGAATATGAATAAAACATAACCTTTCATTTGGACTTTTAAATAAAAAAAGTCAGCTAATATGCTTTTATCAAGAGGTAGGGATTAGAAGAATAAACTTCCTGTATAGTTCCTGTATGAGTCCTGTTAGCTCCTTGACCTCTCTGCAGCTTTTGACACTATTGCTCATTCTTTCTCTTCGCTGATACTCTCCTCTAGGTTTTCCGGACACCACTCTCTCCTGGTTCTCCTCCTACTCATGTAATCCCTTTGCTGTATCTTTTTCCAATTATGCCCTCTAATCATCTGTGTCCCTCTGGGTTTTGATCTGGGCCCTCTTCACTTTTTCATCTAAAGTACTTCACAGGGTAATTTAGTCAGCAGTTATGCATTTAATTACCATCTCTATACCGACAATTCTCAAATTCACTTATCCTTCCCCAACTTATCTTCTAACCTCCCCTCTCACATTCCCAACTACCTTTCAGGCATCTCAAATGGATATACTGTAGATATTTTAAACTCAACATGTCTAAAACCAAACTCCTTATCTTTCTTCCTAAACTCTTCCCTGATACCTTGCTTATTACTTTAAAAAGCAATAACCATCCTTCCAATCCCTCAAGCTCACAACTTAAAAATTATCCTAGACTCTTTACCATCTCTCATCTCCTACTTTCAAACTGTTGTCAAGGCCTACAAATTTTACTTGACATCTCTCAAATATACTCTTTTCTCCACTGTCACTGCCACCACTCAGCTGAAAGCTATGTCTGCTCACATCTAGACTATTGAAATAGTCTTCTGATAGGTCTGAATGCCTCAATTCTCTCTTCAATCCAACTTATCCTTTAAATCAGCAAAGGCATCTTCCTAAAGCAAGTTACTATATATCACTACCACCCTCCACTTAATTGTTGCTTGTTTTTCTTTTTAAAGAGGACCAATAACCACAGGATGATATCTTGACTTACCCATGAATTGGATTTAAATGAGACTGAGTATTACAAAGACATCAGCCTCACTTTCTCTTCCAGAATAGGTCCTTATTACTTGCAGGATCAAATACAAAATACTCTTATTTGGCATCCAAAAGCTTCATAATCTAGCCCCCTCTTACCTTTCCAGTTTTTTTAATTTTTTTTTACATCTTACTCCCTATCACATATTATTTGATTCAGTGACACTGGACTGGATTCAGTGACCTGGGCAAAACACTGTCTCTCAGCTCTGGGCATTTTATCTGGTTGTCCCCCATTTCTAAAATGTTCTCCTATTTCAATTCCACCATTTGATTTTTCTAGCCTCCTTTAAGTCCCAATTGATATCTCATTTTTACTGGAAATATTTCCCAATTTGTCATAATTCTAATACCTTGCTTCTGTTAATTATTTCCTCTATATCCTGTATATAGCTGGTTTTTATAAATTTGTTTGCATGTTGTTCCCCTCCCCCAATTAAACTGTAAGCTTCTTGAGGCAAGGACTTTTATACTTTTTATATCCACAGTGCTTAGCATAGTCCCTGGAACAAAGTAAGCGCTTAATAAATATTTTTGATTGACTTGGATCTATAAATATTTTATTCATTCTACAATTATTTTAAATGGGTTCCTATTCTTATAAATCTGCCAGAAAAGATGAGTCTCTTGGATAATGGAAGCCAGATCCATTAGAGAATTCTTAAGGAAATGATCTCCTATCATTCTTGGGAATCTGGAATTCCACATCTCCTTCCCATGTTTCTATGTGGGCAGTTGTTTGTGCCTGGGATGCATTCTTCTCTCATATTCACCTCTTTGGATACCTGACTTCCTTCAAATCCCTCCTTGAATGCCATTTCCTATGGCAAGTCTCTTCTGATTCTCATTGGTTATTACTATTCTCCCTCTCCTTGTGTTTTCTGTTTGATTTTCCATTCTTATTTTTCACTTCTATTTCAATAGAATGTGACTTAATTGAAGACAGGAATTATTTGGCATTTTGCCTGTGGTTCAAGCAAGTGGCTCATACAAAGCAGGTGGCTGATAAAAAAAAATAACATAAGAAAAGATAACTATTTATATGGAATATATGTAGGGCATAGTTTATGTTAGGCCAGACATACATATTCTGCTTCTTTTCCAGAAACAGCTTTTGTTATGATTATGAAGCAGCCAACTCCATTGCAGCAATAAGAGTTGAGAAGAATCACTGTGCCTGGATATCCTGTCAAAGTTTGCATCTTCACTCCACGGAACAATAAAAGAACATCACAATAAGCTGTCTGAAGATGTTCTGGAGAGGTTACTCAATTCCTTGATCCAAAAGCCCAGACACATTAATGTCCTTTGTGGGACCTATGGAAAATAGATGACCCCTTGCTCATTCTGTTTTAAAAATGTTATTATATTATAATATATGTAAAAAAAATTAAGAGAAGATTTGGGAAACAGAATCATTTTATTTTATCCTCTTCTGGTAAGTGGTTGACCAACAAAAGGCATATCAAAAGTCTGGAACTCCTGTTGCTCACTGGCTGGTAATAAGTCCTTTATGAAGACTAGTTTACATTAGCCAAATATCCACTATCTCACTTCATTGATCAGTGAATCAAAGAAAAAAAAGGCACCACATCACACCAATCAGACTGGCTAATATGACAAAACAGGAAAATAATAAATGTTGAAGAGCATGTGCATACTGAATAAGGAAACTATGTAATTGACTCTTGAGTACAGAACTACCTAGGATCACTTTGCTTAGTACCCATTCTTGCTTGTGTAAAACAGTTGCAGTTTTTCAGGAAGGTAGGGGTCGTTACTCCATATCTGATAGATGAACAATTTGCATGCATCAGGGCCCTTCTGAATAATATAGTCGACAAGAATTTGTGCTTTACTCATGATTGTCAAATTTTCATTCACTTCTTCTATTTCTTCTTGGTTCAGCATGTTTTTTTTGAAACATGTCATCCAAGAGGCCATTGATTATACTCTTGTCCACTGATTCCACAAACTGCTTCCTTCTGTCTTTCAGGATCTGTACAGCTAGAACAGCAAAGAATACTCCTTTAGTCATGAATTTATGAAAAAGACACACCCTCAGCTTGAATTCAAAGAAGTGTACAACTGGATAGGATCTGAAAGGTCAGACAGTTCATACCTTACTTGAGTGCCTAAATCTTGTCTAGGTCAGAGAAGTGTAGAGAAAATAACATTTAATTTTTAGTCAAACAATTTGGATTTGAACAGATGCTATGAGATTTACTACCAGTGTGACCTCAAGCAAGTTATTTCACCTCTCTGGGCCTCAGTTTCCTCAGCTGTAAAGTGAAGCATCATGGGATCATAGATCTAGAGCATGTCTCTAATAAAGCCCTTTCACTTTATAAATGATGAAACAGGCTCAGAAATATTAAGTAAGATGACTAAGAGCAAACAGGTAGTAAGGTGCAAAGCTAGGACATTGAAGCCCAAAGAAGCAAAATTCTCAGAACATTGCCTGGCACATAATCGGTGCTTTATCAAAGTCTACTGAATTGAAGTGTGCTGCCCAAGGTCCCACAACTAGTAAACAGAAAAAACAGGAAGAAGATTCTGTAATTTAAAAAAAGATACAGCAACATTTATTTGAATTATTCCAATAATTCAAGTAATAATATCTGTTATGTTTGTAATCTTTTTTAGTAATTATATAAATAGCTGTCAGAATTTTGACATACAGAAGACAATAAGTTATCAAATTCAGGAACTCAATAAGAGGATAATTTGTTTTGTATAAGGACCTGGATATAATTTGTATTTGAATCTGTACTATTCCTTTGTGAGTAAAGAAAACACATAATCTTAGTGATCATAATTTAAAGAAACATTTTAAATCTAAATAATTTGACTCTCAAAATAATGACTTTTACTTAACATTAAATTCTTAGTAACAAAATGCAAAGATTCAAGCAAGAGTTTGATTTAAAATTATTAGCTACATATGTTAAAATGTAAGCAGTATGTTCCAAAATTGAGAAACATATTCATGAGAACTTAGAAAGCAATAAAAATAGGTAGAATCAGATAAGAACCATAAAATAGCCAAAAGTAACAAAAATAAAGGCCCAATTTTTCCCAAACCCTCTGAAACTTTGAAGATCAAGCTTACTTTTAGAGAAGAGATGAAAAGATGAGCCATTCTCCTTGCTTTTCAGAGTGGCGGATTATGGGTGTGAATGTTTGCAAATACTGTTAGACTTCATTGAAATTGTGGGTGATTGGTTTTGCTGAATTGTTTCTCTTTTTTTTACCTTATAGGGAATGGGTCATAGTGAATGGCAGAAAGGCAGAAAACATAGAGAACTTTATATGTGTGTATATCTCTATCTCTATCTCTATCTCTATCTCTATCTCTATCTCTATCTCTATCTCTATCTCTATCTCTATCTCTATCTCTATCTCTATCTCTATCTCTATCTATATCTATATCTATCTATATCTATATCTATATCTATATCTATATCTATATCTATACACATACACACATATATGTGTATATGTGTATGTACACACATATACATATATACACATAGACACACGTATATAATATGTGTATGTATGAATGTTTAGAAAATCATATGTATACAACTTTTATTATTTATATATATATATATATATAAAACTTTTAAAATATTAAGTTTCTCCTTGTCCTTCCATCTTATCTACCACAAACAGAAGAAAAAAAGGTTTAGAGTCCTTTGCCCACAGTACCAGGACCCATAGACTTAGGCTAAATAACTACAGAGGTGAGGTAAGGCAGCATCCAGCTCTCCTCTCTAGACCATCATTTCATAAACCTTGCTCTCCACAGAGGTCTCTGAAACTAACCAATGTTTTCCCAAGAGTTTTCTCCCCAACAATACGGCCTCACAGAACTTCTACTCATGATTCTCTGAGCTTCCAGAACTTGTGTCCATAATGACAGCAACTGAATTCTTTCTTTGTGATCATGGTATATAGATAGATAGATAGATAGATAGATAGATAGATAGATAGATAGATAGATAGATAGATACACACACACACACACACACACACACACACACACACACACATATATATATATACATATATGGAAATTAAGTTGATCACATTATTTCACAATACAATGAAGAGATTGTGTTTGTCTAACTGATTCAACATTTTCTTTAATGAAGTGGAAAATCCCATCCTTCTTGCTGTGCAGTTCAAATATAGAGAGGAGCAAAATTATGAATGACACATATTCAGTAGCTTCTCCCTTGATTCAGAAGCCAAGAACTGACATTCTTTGTGCTCATCTGCTAGTACCTTCCTCTATGAGGAAATACGGTGAATAAATAATTTTTAAAAAGTTGAGTTGAGAAAATATGGACACACTAATGCAGAAACAGATCAACATTTCACATATTTTGTATTTGAATATCTTCTAATTATAGATTTTTCATAAGAGAAAGTGGTGGAACAAAGTGAGCAAAAAGCAAAGGAATTTAGTGGATTTTGGAAATGGCAATAATTTAGGGGCTTGGAGGAGTTTGGACTACTGAGGTAAGTCTAAGCGGTTTTTTTTTTGAGGAAAGAAATATGATGAAATTTGGTAGAAAATAAGGAAAATTTGAAGGAATGCAATATCTAGGCCTGGATACTAATCCATATTCTCCTAAATAGAAACAGAATAATGATCAAGAAAAAATAAGTAATACAGAAAATGGATAAGGAGGTTAAAAGATTGACTTTAAAAGCTAAGTAATTCCTTATAAAGGAAAAGTGGGAGACAAGACACTTGGAAAGAAAAGACCAAGCAATCAATAAGTACAAAAATTAGAGAATAACTTCTGATAGGTTAGACCAAGTAATGAAACTGATAGGAAGTTAATGTAAAGATTAAAAGAAGATGGGTGGGGCCACAGAGCTGTTGAGAATAAGGAAAGGAAGTTAAATGGGGTTGCAAATGGGAAGCAATAAACGATGATCAAAGTTTTAACTAGGTGCTTAGGAATGAGGTATACATACCTAAAGTATTTTTTTTAAATCATAGATGAAAACCTTAGGTAAACTGTATAGTGACATTCATTTAAAGTGTAATATTTCTATTACTGCTATACTTGAATAATTGAAAATCCTGTTTCAAGTGGAAGCTAGTTCCCTTACTCCTGAGAGAAGACGATGAAAGGACTCAAAGAAAAACTCTCCAAACTCCAGTTTGTTAGGGAGAATGAAGTGATCTTAAATGAAAAATAGATTAGAATTAACTGAACAAAAAAAATGGTATAAAATAGAAGAATGATAACTTGGTCCATCTAAGTATACTACAGAGTGAAAAAGTTGCACAGAGGAAAAAGGGAAGCAATAAAACAAATGTAAAATTACATCTTAAAAGCAAGTTTGAGGCTCTTAGAAAAAAGAAAGAAAAGGAAATGCTTTGCCATATATTGAATAGAACAATGCAGTAGAGCCACTGAAGCTATTTACTAAGAGGTCACCCAATAAATGTCACTAGGATTAGAGAAAAGAATTAGAGAATTAGACAAAAAATTAGAGTAATTCGTGATTTCTTGCTCAAGGATACAGAGACAGCAATTTGTCAACCTGATAAAAATGCATGTGTCTATTGACTTCCAGGACATATATTCTCCCTGTATTAGATCATGAGCTCTGCAAGGGCAGTGACTTATTTTTTTTTTTGCCTTCCTTTGTATCTCCAGCACTTAAAGTTGTATCTTGCACAAAGTAGGGGCTCAATAAATGCTTATTGAATGACTCATAATAGAGAACTTCACATGAGCAAAAGGATGAAAACTACCTTGGGTGGTTCATATGACAGTCTCTGTTATGAAGTTAGGAGGAATCTGATAAGCAACTTGTTCCTTAATGTGATAGAATTTTTTATAATTAAAATCTCCTATATAGTGTTACTTTAAAAATATTTGGCAATAGATTAGCTGGAAATAGTTTATCCTATAATGTGAAATGCTTAGAATAAATAGCCCTTGTATAAAATATAATACTAAATGATTGAAATTATAAATTGAGGTTCTTTATAATGTTGTTTGGGAAATAGATTCAGATGTTTTATTATTATTAATTATATGGATCAGAAACCCTGAGAGAGGATTATACTGGGAGAAGGAGAAAGGGAGGGGTGGAATGGGGTAAATTATCTCACATAAAACAGACAAAAAAAGTCTTTTGCAGTGGAAGAGAACCAAGGGAAGGTGGGAGGGAATCTTATTCTCATAGGATTTAGCTTAAGGAGGGAATAACATACACACTCAATTGGATATGGAAATCTATCTCACCCTACAGGAAAATGGGGGTGGGGGTGGGGAAGGAGACAAGTGAGCAAGGGGATGATAGAGGGGAGGGCAGATTGGGGGAGAAGCTACACTTCTGAGGAGGAACAGAGTCAAAAGAAAGAATAGAATAAATGGGGGGTGGAATAGGATTAAGGGAAATATACTTAGTTTTTCACAACATGATTAGTATGGAAGTGTTTTTGCATAATTACATATGTATAATCTGTATCAAGTTGCTTGCCTTCTCAATGAAGGTGGGAGGAAGGGACAAAATTTGGAACCCAAAATTTTTAAAACACGTGTTAAAAAAATTGTTTTCACATGCAACTGGGAAATAAGAAATACAGAAAATGGAGTATAAAAATCTATCCTGCCATAGAAAATAGAAAGGGAAGGAGATAAGCTGGGAGGGGGAAGAGATAGAAGGGAGGGCAGATTAGGGAAAGTAGTATTCAGAATGCATGCCATCTTGGGATGGGGGAATGGATGAGATGTGGAGAAAATTTGGAACTCAAAATCTTGTGGAAGTGAATGTTGAAAGCTAAAAACAAATAAATAAAATAAAATAAAATAAAATAAAATAAAATAAAATAAAATAAAATAAAGAAATATAAAAAATTTAAAAATAAAGGACTAAGACAAATTTATAAGAATATAAGTCATGCCCCAAAGGATAAATGGTCAAAAAATATGAATAGGTAGTTCTTAGAGGAAGAAAGTAAAGCTATC